CTCTCTCTCTCTCTCTCTCTCTCTCTCTCTCTCTCTCTCTCTCTCTCTCTCTCTCTCTCTCTCTCTCTCTCTCTCTCTCTCTCTCTCTGTCTATGCGCTAAAGCATTATTAATTCAGTGTTATGTCATACCATTATATCATAAAAACTAATAAATTTTGCTATTTTTTAATTAAACATTAATACTGACTGCAAACGACTTATTTTTAATTTATTTTTCATTAATTTTTCTTGTTTTGCGACCTTTTGTTGACAATATGTTATGCGATAATCCCTTTGCATAACATATTTCGGGCGTAAATATTTGTAAAATTTGATTATATTTTACTTTTTATTTAAACATAAAACTGAAATCCCATACAAAACTAGTGATAACCAGAAGAAACATCTTTTATTACATCGAAATTATTGTCTGTATTTCTCATACCATTTGTTGTTTTGTGTGTTTTTGTGTGCTTTGAGTTTCAATCAACACTTGATTCTCATTCCGATCGTAACTTTCAATTCTCCTTATAATTAAAAGTTTTGTGTCTTCCGACCAATAGGTCTGTCTGTCATTCATTTGTAGCAATAATTAAAAGTCAGAGTTTCTCTCCTATTTCTTATGGTATGTCGACATCAAAGCGTTACTAAAAATAGTTGACTTAACAAATAGCCCAAAAAGCAAAGCCGTTTTCCCAGAGTTCAGGTAACAAATAATTTAATAGTCAATAAACCGATATATCTGTTGTATAAATTGGTTGTTCACTTGTACTCAACACCAGAATGTCATCCAATGATAAAAGAAATATTTATTTAGTAAATGACATGAAATACCAGACAAACAATAATACACACAAAAACCTTTTATTATTCTAGTATTTAATATAATTATAGTGTTTCTCTTCATTTCCATACAGTTCTGTCTAAATGTACATAAAATAAAGCATTTATTTAATTCACAAATATTTTTCCTAAACAATAATTATTGGGTTTGATTGAAGAATTTTTTTTTGTAAACATAATTAAAATGTTGAACATTTCGTAACAATTTTACTAAAGTATTGATTTATAAACGAAAATATGCATTAAACATAATACTCTATCGTATTTTTATATCATACATTATAATTGTATATAAATTTTTAATGCATATAAATTTTGTCTATGAAAATTGCATAACATCTGCATCTCTAATATTTACTATTAAATATGATTTAAAATCACGAGTTAATAGGATTTTATAGTTAAAAATTTATACGTTTAGATATAAAATATTGATAAATGATATCAATAATTAAGATGTTTTTAGGTTAACAATAATAATATGCCGTACATTACAAAAACATATGCAAGTTATTGACAAAAGTGACCTCAAAATGGACAGACAATTTCGATATCAATTTAGTTTATTTTGTAATTTTAAAAAGTTTTCTATTTAGTGAAAGGATCGGTCCATTACTTAATCAAAGGCTTCACATAATTAACTGATCCTTTCACTCGTTAATAATGAAGTGCTGATTGTATTTAGTATATGAAAGCGTTGATCGCCTCAATGTGTCGACTCCTCTAATATACGGCTCTTTTGTTCAATTCTCTTATGAGTTAATCATTTAGAAAAGTTATCACAAAAACTTGATTTAAATATTAAAAATGAAACTAAACATTAGTTTTTGTCAGCTTTTGCCAGAAAAATATGCTTTTATTTCGATTTAATCTAACAATATATGAAATAATATATTAAAAATTAAGTTATTCAACAAATTCATTGTAAACCCCATAGAGTTCTTTGAAATTATTTAAATTTTTATTTGTCATCCGAAACGAGTTGTTTTTGAATTAAATTTGATTATTTTGATAAATAAAATGGTTTATTAATAATTTATTAGTTCATTATTAGTTATATTCTCATCGATTCCGCGTATTCTGTATTGTATTTTGCAATTCATTTTACGATTCAAATCAATCTTCAAAATATTTAGTTTTCTTCTTTGACTTTCGTTTTTGACATTTTATTTATTAAAGAAAAGAAAGAAAAATTACTCCAAATTCCAAATGGAGTCAAATATTTCAAAATATTTGCGCAAATGGTTTAAAATATCTGGAAATTAGTTTATCACATATTTTGATATAATATTTTTCTCACATTTTTAAATTTCCCGTTTTATAACATTCATTAAATTTAGATTTTAATTTATTATTTGGATGAAAAGCCATTTGATTTAAAATATCTAAATTGTGAAATATTTGTCGTTTTAATTGTACGTTCAAATCAATTGCAATTCCAATTATTTTATAAAATATACAAATATTTCGTAAAGAAATATTCAGTCAATTAAATGGAATTTACATTTTCTATATTTTGTAATTAAATAGTTATATTTTTAAATTAATATATTAAATTACTCTATTTCTCTAATATAATTACTCTATTTCTTACAAACTCCTGTTTGAATGCCCTCTTAAATATCGGTTTATCTTAATAGCGATATCTTTCAGCCATGTTCTGCCTCTTTAGTCAAACCCTCTTTTAGATAACAAATGTATTGAATGAAAGGAATAGTACGAGAGAGAGAGAGAGAGAGAGAGAGAGAGAGGCTGTATTGAAGGTATTTATCTAAAACTTATAGTTAAAGTAAGTATAAAAGTGATGGCAACGAGTGTTTAGCAAAAGGAATAAAATTAAAGGCTTTCTATTGTATGAATTGAATGAATAGTTCTCTTATGAATAATTTTGTGATTCTTTTTGGATTCAAATATTGAAATGAAATGAATGGTAGGATTGAGTGGATTGAGTGGTCGGCGTCTATGCTCTCCGCGAATACATTTTTGTGCCTAAAATTGAACCCAAATTTTCAATTGCATTACAAATGAAATTCATGGCAAACATATTGATTGATGGATCGATTGGAGTGAATGACAGCAGTATTTCTGGCCTCAAATGTTTGACATTCCTATTTAGTGACCAAAAAGACAACAATTATTTGTTCATTGAGTAAACCAATCATTTTCCGCTTAGTATTACATTTATTTAACTGAATTACATTGAATTACATTGAGATTGCATTTGTTTCTGTCATCTCGATCTCAATCCAACACATATACCCTATAAATAGCTATAGATTTATAGATATTATACGTATACCAGTGTTATGTGCGGTCTATACGTGTACTGTATATACAGTTATATATCAATATTACTTATCTCTCGCATGGATTTTGTTGTGAATTATATTTTGTATCGATTTTTTGCCTCCAAATTGATGTCTTATATAATATGTGAGTTTCATGTGTCTTACGACTTGTAAGTAAGCGTTATATGTGTTTATGTATTGAGTCTTAATTAAATAATTCAAAGTTTATAGTCTATCAAAAATAATTATAATAAGTTAATTGACTCGCAATGACTCGCAATCCCCGGTAAATATCATTTGACGGCAAAACGCATTCTGATGTAAATCTAAAGGCTTTATAAATATATTTCTAACACTATTTGCAATCAAAAGGGCATAAAATTGAATCAAAGCCTTATTTGAAAGAATCCAAACCAATGTTTTTCTGATTAGTGTTCAAATCGTATTAAATGAGAAAAAACAATATTAACTTTTGATATGAATTTCTTATACAGATATATAGTTAGAGCCATATTTGCTCAGAATTGAAGCGCCAGTACTTCGAAGCTAACCATAAGACAAATACAAGCGTATAGTACTGTATATATCACTTGGGATTCAAATAATATATGGTTTTATTATTATAGCTCTTATTATATCTTTAATTTTTTCTATTCTCTCTCTCTCTCTCTCTCTCTCTCTCTCTCTCTCTCTCTCTCTCTCTCTAAATGTAACTTAAATTTATGCCATAATAAAGTGAGAATAGAATTGGATTTATATTTAAAGTTAGGAATGTTTGGTCTAAAATTTATTGTTTGTAATTTGTTTTGAAAATTTTTAATTTCTTTTTATTTCATTTGAAAACTTTTAGAGAGATTTAAACATTGAGTCTCTCATTGCAGAGATGTATAGCTAGAAGTGAAACGACAAAAAACATTACTCTCTATTTGACTAAAACATTGAAATTCGCAAAACTATTTGCTGACAACACATTCAAGTGAAACAATTGTTTTACAGGCCATTAAAATAAAGCAATTTCCAAAAGTGTCTTCTACTGTATATCATATGTATATCATTTTTATGTATATGTATGGCAAACATCATAAATATATTCTTTGTTTTCTGGCCTTTTTGAGCACAAAAAAATACATTATTTCTTTACTTTTGATAAAAGCAATGCGAAGATAAGAAATACTGTAAAACTAAACCTTAAATGAAAATTTGTGCCCAAAAACCGAGTCTCAAAATTCAGGCCATTTTTTGTCTGAAATAAGAAACATATTAAGGATATTAAACAAAGAAATTTATTTTGTTTTTTTTTTGAAATATGTTTCTCAATATACTATATCATGAGATCATATTCATTGAAAGTAACATTAAAATGTTTTTTACATATCAAATGAATTTTATTTATTAATTTTTTGCCCCAACTTTCTATTATAAGACATATAAAGTATAATATTTTACAGAATAATACAGAATATAAATAATAATAATACTATTAGGCCTTAAGCGTGAAATGAGAGACCAAAGTCTGTGCTTTAAAATGACGATAATTTTATACCCAAAAATCATATTTAAATGTGAAACAAAAATAACTAATATTTATCTAACATTTTATTTCCATTCACAGCCGCCAACCCTATTATCTGTAAGTTTTACAATCATTTAATATATTTTCTTTGTGTATACATTAATATCTATTGCTATAAATTTAATGTATAAAAACACACAAAAATTATAATCTTGATTATTTTGGTTAAAACTTGACGTATTTTTCTCCATCTATTTTCAGACACTATATTCAATCGTGATTTTAGGCGAGCCTTTAGAAAGATTTTGTTTAAATGATTGATAAAATCTAATAAAAAAGGAAATAATAATACAATAAAAACAATGAAATGGACGACAAAATCAGTGAAACAACAATAAAAACGAGAAGACAAACGTCGGGAGAGAGGAAAACGGACTCTTAAAGTGAAACAACACACAAAATAGTGACTGAAAAACTATATATCGATTAACTTTGCATTAATATTATTACTATTATTACTACTATTGTATATAAAAAAAACTTTAAGGCAAACAACAAAGAAGTTTTTTCTTAAGTTTTAAAAATATTTTATGATATTTGTCTTCCTTTCTCTTAATAATAAATAACTTATAAATATCTATAAGTTATATAAAAATACACCGAAATTCATATATATCTCATTGAAAGGCTCTAAACCTGGCGTTAATAACAATAATAACAACGTTTGGAGCGAAACAACAAAATTCTAGTAATATTTTCATCGATTTTCATTCAAATTACTGTTTAAAATGTGCCTTAAATTATGTTATACTTAAATAAAGTATAAATAAATAATTATATATAAATATATTGTATATATAAAACAGATTCACTCATATTTTCATTGATTTGTGCAAATAATGCATTCATTATTTATTAATATTTCATTAACAAAAACATACAATTCTGTGTATAAATGCATTGTTTTATTTCCAGACAACACTTTAATTATTCGCTTCTTTGCAGAACTCAATACGAATTCATGTATTTTTAATTAAAACCTGTGATAAGTATTTCAGTAATGATTTATTTACAAAAATATTATTTTCTGGAAAGACTCTCTCTCTCTCTCTCTCCCATCGGAAAACCGTTCTTCGGGTCCAACTGTTTCATTGGTTTATACGTTATTTGATTGTCATTGCCTTTGAGTCTATCAAACAACACTCTCTCTCTCTCTCTCTCTCTCTCTCTCTCTCTCTTCAATTAATATATTTTCCAATTATTTAATTAATTCAAAGCAGAACTCAGAATAATCTGTTTTAATGTTTAGCAATACTTTAGCACTATTTATAAACTCAATGTAATAATTAAATATTCATTTAATTTATAAATTAAATAATATATTAATGTATTAAAAATTAATATAAATTTTAACCAGAGTTTTCCAAATTACTTATTTGTGCACAAATTATAAAAGATTTTATTAATTTATTGATAAAACTGTGTTTATATTTGTTATTTTAAATAAAGCAATTAATTTTTAAGTTATTAATTAATGAATATTTAATAATTAAATTGAGTTTATTATTTAGTCTCTATTACAAAACATATCTATATTAAAATTATAATAACATTATTAAATTTAAGTTTGCATTTATTTACAAACAAATACTCAACAGATTTTGAATCTGAATTTAATGTAAATTTATTTCTTAAACTACTAAGAGATGGACTGGTCTTCCATTAAATTAATTAATTATTTATTATTAAAAATGTATAAATTATTTGTTTGTTATGTTATTGTTATTTTATTTACTGTTTTACAAACAAGGTATATTATAAATATAAAATTGTATTGAAAACAAATATTTGTTAATAATATCTAAATTTTATCATAAGTTTAATAAAAACAAAACAAAACTGAATTAATGGTGCTTTCGATCGACTGATGTATTTATGATATAAAATTAAACACAAATATTATTTACATATATCATGGCTTGTATTGCGTTATCAATGACTAAATTTAACTTTTTATAACTTTAAAAACACATTTATTTGGGAAAAATAATGCAAAAATTGAGAAAATATTGCAAACAAATAACAAGTAAAACAAAGAATCGCTAATTATATTCAAAATTAGATTATATTATGAATTCAAACTCAAGTTTTGACAATAAGTTACTGTTATATATTTGATAATTAGTTTACGACCAAAAACAGTGATAATTGAGTCGTTAATAATGTTGTCTACAAAACACGACGATTTGTTTGGCCACAAAGTTATATATTTTAATTAAAACTCAAGCATTAACTTACAATAGATTGCAATTACAATAATATTACTTCATTTAAATATGATCTGACATTCGTTGTGCTTATAAGTTATAAACTTATTTTTGGTTAACAGTATAGCAATTAATAAGCAAATTCTGGTTTGGTGTGACCATGATCATTATTTGGCTATAGAATAACTTTTAAAATTAACTTAATATAATACACGTGCCGTTAGAGCTAAGATGTTATTCAATTACATTCACCGCTAATATTATAATAATATTAAATTTAGTGATTTTGTAAAACAAGAAGTAAACAGTTTATCCATTTATTTATTCGTTGATATATTGAGTAGTTTTAACACATTTTCTACTGTACATCAAACTAGGTATTTTCAGCCCATGTTTTATGTTTGCCAATGTTTTCAATGTTTTTGATAAGTTTTTGCATAATTTTACGCTTTGATTAATTCTATGCATAAAATATTAGAAATATTAGGGGTTTTTGAGGACAAAAATAAAGCACAAAAATGGCATTTCTATTGAAAACGCAATGTCGAGACCATAAAAATAATTTTCGATACATTTGTTATATAAACACATTGAAAACATAGCAGTTTTAAAGGCAAAGTACATATTGTTTCGCATAATTTCGCAAACCATTGAAAATCGGGGCTCTTTTCATGTATTTTCATTGATTTGTTATTTTGTGAAACAATTTTTGCCTTCAAAATCCACGCTATGAAACAAAAATATGTTTTTTAATATGTATTTATAATTTAATCGTTTTTCTGTTGAATATTTATGTGAGAAAATTATTATGTAAATTGAATTTATTGTAAATACATATAGATATATATATGTATATAATATTAATAATTCATTTTCATTAAAACAATTATTACTTGCATTGAATTCATTGAATCATTTGTTCAAATAAAATATACAATACGTTCACATAATTTAATGTAAATTTAGGTGAAAACACACACATAATCGGCTGGGAATGGGCTCATCATCTCATTTACATATTGTTTTCAAATGAATTAAATATAAAAACTTATATAAATTGTTGTGTTTTTGAGCTACAAATATATTCCGCAAAAGTAAATAAAAGTTAATAATTTTTTACTTAAATTGTTTTTTCTTATTATATTTTGCAATATAATAATCACAATATTGTTATCTTTTCTAAATTATTCTAATATTTGTCAAAATATATTATTCATTGTTTTCTTCGCTGAAATACGAGAACCCTTTGCCTGAAAATGCAATTCAAACAAAAAACACTCAAAACATTTCAAGTGTTTCTTTTATTTCTCTTCGAAATTTATCACTACTTTTAGTCTCTATTTTTTTGCATACATTTGTGTTATTTTAAACTCATTCTTCAGGTTTTATAGAAATGTCAAATGCTTTTTATGCATAAGTTTATTAGTATAAAAATTATAATATAATATGCATATTATGCAAATAAGTGTTTGGTATAAAAAAAAGTAGGTTTTTTGTAAAAATTTAAACATATCTTCAATTGTTGTTTCAGTAGATGTATTGAAGGGTAGGTTTGAGTCCATATTATAAGGGAATATGACATAAGAATAAGTGGTTTTACATTGAAAATCATATAATTATTGATAAATTCATAAAATGTTTGAACTTTTTAAACCATTTTGCATATAATTATACAGTTATTATAAATTATAAATCGGAGTTCAATACACGAAACCACTTATATATGCGATTGTATAAAGAGTTTCGCCGAAAGAAAAATATTTAGACTTCAATGGAAAGGAAAGGAAGCCTTTTGTTAAAAACGGATACTTTTTTGATGATTTTTCATAACAAATAAAAACTACTAAAATCTCATTGATTTCGAGTATTTATTTTCGTTCAGAGACTTTGATGTCTTCAAAAACAGTTCAATCAAATCAAAGTTCATTTCCTCTTCTTCTATACTCTTTGACTTTTTTCACTTTAAAATAACATCAAAATATGATTTATTGCTGAATATAACATATCATTTGCTATAAAAAAAAAGCTTTTTAGGGATAGAAGTGAACAAAAATTACATAAAAAATCGATTTTCTATTATTTTTTTCTCTGCGCCCAAAATCTTGTTTAAGTAATAATTTAAACGCTTTTAAAAAGTTATGATTGAAATATAAAAGTAAAAGTGTTTTATTACACAAAGAAATTAATTACAATTTAAATGACAATAGATTAGTAATACTGTTATAAAATCAAAATAAATGACAACTAAATATCATAAATAAAATCATTAAAAATCAATTAAAGGACAGAAAATTGTAAATTAAAACATTGAATCTCTTGCGATGGCAGTCATGGCAGATGTCTTGTTGTCATCGGCGGTGAACTCGATGACTGACTTAATGTCTTGTCAATGGACTTAATGCTTGCGGGACT